AGTACTTCAAGACCATCAGAAGGGACTGGCTGTAGAAATTACATCTATTTATAATATTACTAATGTGCTGTTAAAAGGTCAGCCAGCCCATCTGAAGTATGTTGAGTTATAGTTGCAAGAAAGCACTTCAAAATTTCACTGTCTGCATCAGATATATTTAATTTTGTATTTTGTATTTTGTTCGGGAACGAAAAATGACACAACGCCGAAACCGGTTTGTATCCAAACCAAATTTGACAAGGGATGTCGTAAACTTTAACAGCTTAAATAAATGTTTAGAGAACCTGAAACCACAAACAACTATTTTTAACACTTCGAAAATTCATAATATGACTTTGCTGGTACTTTGCGAACCCCCGTAATATATACGACAACAATACGTCACTTACGACAGCGGTGTGAATACCCCAAGTAATTCATCAATTGAGAAAGGCTGGGCAGATTTAGCTCAATTTTTTTTAGTTGCTCGTAATTGCCAGGAAAAGGGTTTTACGAAAGAAAATTTTGGGAAAACCCTCTGGAAAAGTCGGGAAATTGGAAAAATCTAAAATAGATTTTTTGTATAAAATTGTGTGAGTAATTGTTTCGGAATGGCTTTTCGAATGGAAAAATAGAAAATTCTTAGTGGGAAAACTCGGAAAGTTCCGGAAGAACGCGAAAATTTTGAATTTTTTTCGGCGAAATTTTGCAGTTTGTCGCATGATTTGATGATTTTGGACGATGTCAAGGTGAAAAATTCGTTGTGATGTTTGGAAAATTTCGGATAATTGTGAAATTCATTGTGAGCATGATTCAATTGGGAACAATTTCTCCTAGGTTTCCTAAACGATTCGAATGGTTGTTGCTTTATTGGAAAGGCGTTTAGAAGGAGGAGTGACAAAGTTTTAATTTCTCCGATAGGTGGCGCAGGGGTCGAGCTACGCTAAACAATCGAATTTATGATCGGATTTGCTTCAAACGTTTTGTTTTTCGCTACATAAGGATAAATAAACCTGCCAAAAATGGACCCGATAAGTGCGTCCAAAACCGAGTTATAGCAAATTCAGTTCCATGCAAAATGTTCTCTTATCCATCTATACTAATTATATAAACAGAAGTCCTTTGTTTTGCAACAGGTAATCTCGCGAACGGCAGATCCGTCTTTCATGAAATTTTGTATATAAATAGCTTTCAGCAACCACCATGTCAAGGGAAACAATTTACTTTTTTCCGGAAGGTGGACCAGGGACCGATCTATTCAAAAAATCTTATTTAAGGTCCGGTTTACTTGAAATTTGTCACGTAGGTAGCGTTTTGCATAGATTAGCATATAAATACATTGCAATCCGGTCATAATGGAATCAACGGGACCGCGTCAAATTGTCCATTATAACCGAGTGTCTATTTTATTAGAATATAATATTTTTAAATAATAAAGAAATAATGTACATGTATAAATACAAAATTGTATACTTTTCATACGAGGTAAATGCCCGTTTTTCCGTTCCGACATTTTTCTTAAAGTGAGCAAAACACAGATCAAAAACCAACGAACCGTCACTTGCAGTCTACCCCGGAAGCTTATTGCCTATTTTGACACATTTCGGTTAATCAATGAACTTTGTTTAAGTATATAGACGTTTTCTGTTGCAGAGACGGTTGCCTCTCTTTACTGAATTCGGGGAATTACCAAACTTTGTTTATTCCAGAGATTATTTTTTAATTTGGCCTTAGTTATAATGGACAAAAACCGATATTTTTGTCAATTATAGGCGGAGTTCGTCATAACCAAGTCTATTTTAACTGAGTTTTTTTCATATGTTTGAACTAGGATTTGACAAATGGGTGCATATTAAGAGAGTTCCCATCTTAAGCGAGTCCATTATAATTGGATTACACTGTAGGATCCATTTTTCAGTTAAGTGGACTAGGGACCGATCTATTCGAAAAAATCTTATTTCCGATATTAGCTATTTAACAATACTTATTACACTGGCCAACAAAAATTGATAGATTTTTTTTTGCTGATTACGAATCAGTAAGCACGAAGTTTCCAGCTCCCGGTTTTGAGAAAAACGAGGTCAAAGTGTGAAACAATCGCGTTTTTTCAATATCTAGCAGAGGAACAAAGAGTGGTAGAACCTTCCACTTAGGCTTAAATTAAGAGCGCGATTGCCCACGAACGTGTACGTAGCGTAGCGTAGAAGTACGTTTAAACATATCAAGTTTGCTGTTGATGGAAAGAGAGAGAAGCAACGTCTACGTCACGGTCTTGCGGTGGTGAGTCACTTATTGAACAGCCAACACTGATTTTTACAACATTTTTTATTCTTTTTTCAATAACATAATTTTTGCGTAATTTTTTTTTATTGTTGGACAAGAAAAAAGTAAATGATTATAGGTGACCATCAGGCCAAGGTGCAGGAATAGTATTTTGAGGGATAGTAGTCGGGAGTTCTAGCTTTAATTTAAGCTTAAGTGGAAGGTTCTATCACCTTTTGTTTCCTTGCTAGAGCTTCTCAAATTTTGCAAAAACCGCGATTTTTTTACCCTTTCACGACGTTTTTCTCAAGAGCTGATGGAAACTTTGTACTTAGGAATTCGTAATCAGCACAAAAAAGTCTATCAAAAATAGCTTTAACATTTTCCGCATCAAAATCAGTCTTTCCCTGTGTTATCTATACTAATTAAGAGAAGCTCCTTCTTTTTATAACAGGTGATCTCGCGAACGGCTCGCGGGATTTTTTTGAAATTTGGGAAACCTACAGCAGGCTTTCGATATATTAAGGGAGCGTGGCATCACCCACACAAATCGAATTTTTCATACCGTGTATCTTTGGAAGTATTTGTGTTAGAGTCCTGGAACTTGGTACTGAGATTTTGAAATCAACCCCATACTCATGGAGAAAAGTCGGGGCTATTGGAAAAGGGGACGTGGCGCCTTCCAAACATATTGAAACTTTTACTTCTCTGTAAATATATGCATCCTCCAGAATAAGCCTCCGTAGTGTTTTTTTTAATATTTGCAATCTTATTCACAAAAAATCAAATAGCAGAAAGTTAAAAAGTTTTTAAAAAAATTTAGGAAAATTCGACAAACCTTCACCAAAATTTTGAACTTTTAGCCAAAGTTTGAGTATGCAGTTTTGTAGTTCACTGAATTTCAGTATAATAAAGTGCAAGTTTTCAGTGGCAATAAGCTACCGTTGATTTTTGTGAATTTTTTTTGCTGATGATGTTGCGCATTTTCTCCGTATAACGAATGCGTGATAGTTTTTTTTTTTTGTACGGGAAAAAATGTTGAAGAGCGTCAGTATGTAAAATACTTATTCTGGTGGGTGTATATAATTCTTCGGTACATGCACAACGATAGGGGCAATACTATTACAAAAAAAGATACGCAAGATGGTGCTGGAGCCGAGTTATTGCTAAAAATCGTCAAGTGAAGTTATTCGGCGTCTAAACAGAATAAAGACAATTCTTAATGAATGCCTACAATTGTAAGACATTAAGGTATTGGATTTCTGACGACCAATAATACTCCCAGTTTGGAAATTGCCACCAACTATACTATACAGATTCAAGGACGATGCACCATCGAGCCGGATCATTGCTGCCGCAAGGACTTCTTCCCGGCATAATGCTTTCGTCAGGTTATTTGAGACGGCAATGGAGGATATGCCCTCTGTCAACCACAAAACCAAACCTGAACGTGAATTGATGCGAAAAGGTGGGACCAAATAAAATTTCCGCGGGACGAAGTTCGCCGGGTCTGCTAGTTATTTATAAATATGCACACTTCAACTTTAATTCCCTTATTTTCAATAAATTTATACAAACACAAAGCAACGCTTTTGTTTGATTTTTTTCCGGTGTAATAGAAAGAGTATTTGTCAATGTTATTGTGGCTTATTAATATTTTATTTTAATATTGTTATATAGCTTTGTACCACGATTATGTTTATTAGGAGAAATGGAAAAAGCAACAAAGTCTAAGCGGTAGAAGTTATAGTAGCTATTTCGAAGATCACCACATCTCTTCATCAGACTTCTTTTTCTAGACTTCAGCAGGGATCGAACCCGCATCATCGATGTGCAAAGTCAGAAGCGTTAACCACTGAGCTATTCACACATCGTAAACTCGTGTTGCTAATTCATCTTCTTATTCAACTTACTGCTATCAATTGCAGCTGATTTGCCGCTATTTAAACTTGACAGCGCCGTTGTGTTGTCAATTCTATACATGCACTTGCTTTATTGTATAGTTTCTGGCAGGCTCTTCCTAAACTACGTATTTGTAAATGTTATTGTGGCTCATTCACATTTAATTTTAATGTTGTTATTGAGCTTTGTACCACGATTATGTTTATTAGGAAAGATGGAAAAAACAACAAAGTCTAAGCGGTAGAAATAGCTGCCTGTAACTTTTTTTGTTTTGTTGACAACAAGTTAACAAATTAATTAACTTTCTTGCAATTGTAATTGCAAGTCAGCTTTAAACATTTTTACTCGTCTTTTTTTGAGTGTTTTTTACATCAGAAGTTCAGCTAATGATGCCAAAATCGTAAATGATGTGTCTAAGTATATACAGTTGGCAAACCAAGATATGGAATATGATATAGATGAATATAATAGTTGACTTAGGGAGGATAACAATGCAAATAGGTATTGTCAGTGGTAAATCGTTTAGAGATGAAAGTCATTTAGATAATGAAAAATACCAATGAAATTAACGAACACAATAGTGGAATTCGCGCTTTAGTGTATTCGTTGTATCCTGCGTGAGTGTAACTGGACGAGCGTGTGGTTGTTGTTGCAGGTGTATTTTATGTACCGCTAGCAACAACAAATCACACGCTCATGCAGTTACAATTACACAACATACAACGAATACACATAAGAGCGAATTCCGCTAATGTGTTTCACTTATTTGTACAATTATGTAATGAATAAGTAAACGAAATATCAGAATATTGCAGAACCCTGCAAATGGGAATTGACGGGTTAAAATTGCTACTTACACATCCATGTGTAGTATAAATGCTTTACAAGCCTTTGAAATTCTGGCGGTATTTCCAAATTGAAGTCTTGATAAAAGCATGGCTTTACACAAAAGTTGTCTGGTAACGGAGGCCAATTGTTCAGTTGCGGTACGTTCCCCTGTAGTTGTTGTTCACGTCTATCTAGTTCTGCGGCTTTGCGATCCAATTCTTCTTGGCGGCGCTGAAATAAATGATTGTCATTAGAACGTATAGACGAAATCTAATTCGCAAGGACTTTGTAAATGTGGGGAACTATTTAACTCTCCCAAGCAGAATTTTCTTTAATTCTTATAATACAGCATTTATTTATAATATTATTAAAGGAAAGAGAGTGAAAGAGCACTTCTTTACCGATGAAAGAAGTATTAGTATGGACACCTTCGGCTCGCTCTTAATATATACATATGTATGAACTAGAGATGTTTCGAATGTCATATTTTTCACATTCGCGAATGCGAATGTTAGGAATAACATCAAAAAAGCTATAATCAACTTAAGTCATCGTTTTTATTACATAAAAATTGTGTTAATTATTACAACATTGAACGAGTGCTTATCCTATACATACGGTGACCATATTTATAGGAGCCGAATACGGGACAAAAAATAATTTTGCTAATTTTCTCCACAAAGGCTAACAGATCTTAAAACCTTCTTCAATGAGCCTAGTGGTATTAGCCCTGAAACAGCATCCTTATAGTAACATCATAAATTTGTTGGATATTTTTCTTGGGAGTTTTTACCTCGCAGAATTTGTTACAAAAAATTCGTTAAATTTTTTAGAATATAATAAAGTGCAAGTTTGAAGTAGCTAGGACTTACCGTTAATTTTTGGCAATTTTTTGTTAACGGCGTTACGCATCTTTTTCATACAATAGGTGTGTACTCGTATTGAGAGGACAAAATTCTCCAGCAGCAAAATTTCTGAGAATTTAGCAGCATTCGCTCTCAAAGAGAAGAAATATCGACAGAAGTACGAGAGCGCAAAAATTGCAAAAACTTACAACCTTCGAAACAGCTGATTAATTTGACAATTTATTTTTTGCTTGGTGCATTTTCCCCCGATTTGGCATTTTATACAATACAATAAAATACGAATTAATTATATCGGAATGAATAAGTTATTTTTCTCATAATTGTTTGTGATATCACATGGTGACGCATTAAAAAACAAGAGTATCTCCTCCAAACACCCATCATTGATCCAAAAAAATGTAATAGAGTAGGTTTAAAATTATACAATTTTCATTTCAACAATCAACCTACCAAAACCGAAAACTTCAGCAAAAAAACATTTCAGCATGCTTCATTTAAATCTATTTTGGTATATTTAAAGGAAAATTATGGTACAAACGAAAAATGTTATACGGCAACCATAGTCAGCACACACTAAAGTAAACAAACTGGAGATTAATAGCAAATTAACGAATAATAAACTCAACAAACGTTGTGCTTATTAAATTTACGCACTTTTTAGCTGTATACTAGCATTAATAATAAAATTTGCAATAAATAACTCAAAAAGGCCATATTTTCTTTTGTTTATTTACAAACATGTGTTTGTGATCAGCTGATTTTCTTACTTGCAAGTTTTAGCTGGGAAAAATTTTTTAGCAGAAATTTGCAGCTCTCTTTCACATTTTGCTCTCTCAATTTCCCCTACTTTACAAGTTTTTTGGGTACGAGAACGCAAAACCAGTAAAAGTTTTCTAAAACTTTCGATAGTTGGGCGTACGAGTACACTCCCAAAGTAAGTATGTTCGACATTTTTTTGATAGGGAAGCAAATGAGCAGCACCTTGCACTTGCACTTTATTATACTCTATTTTAATGAGCTACAAAACTGCAACCAAATGATTTTCTAACGATTCTGATTAAAAAGTTTAAAATTTTGGTTAAACTCTACAGAATTAATTTTTATAATTTTAGCACAAAGTTGGAAATTTGGATTTATATAGTTTTTGTTAGGAAAAGAAATTTACTTTCATAAAAAATAATAAACATTACCCAAAGGAAACTAGGAAAGCCTTTCTTAAATTTAGAGTCCTAATTTATATTTTTTTGGTCACTGTATGTGTTCCTCGATTCGAATCACAGTCACTCAGACTATAAAATAATAACTATTTATGGAGAAAGTTTCGATCATATATCAACATCATTTAAAATAGGTTCATATGCATGCCATTTTAATGAGGTGTTAAGGCGTCGAAATACCGAACACCGAATACGGGACAAATACAGGACATTAAAAGAAATACAGAACATTTGCGTCCCGTATAAACTAAATAATTTACCAGGACAATTGGTCAAAAAAGAGGGCTGTCCCGTATAATACAGGACGGATGGTCACCGTACCTATGCAGTGTATTAATCTAGTAGTCAAAGTTCAAAAGGGGTATATTATATTTCAAAAAAAGTAATTTTGTTGCCTTTTCTCACATGAGGCGATTTCTTAGAGGCTCGTATATAACGCCGGCTACACTGAACAAGAGCTCACTTGGAACGCTGGCGGGTGGAGCGCTCAAATATTTGCGATCCGGATTTGTCAATTTGTCTTATTTTAGTTTAGTTTTCCACCAATCGAGAGGATTTTCATCGAGATGAGCTTGTTTTTCTTTAAAATAGGCCTTCAATTGAGCTTTAGTTTCACATTTTTAATGTCTCCAGATTCTACATCTGAGCTCTCGCTTTCGCTGGAGGAATCGAAAATCATTTCTAGGTTGCTTATAAGAATTTTAGTAGTACTTGTTGAAGGACCATAAATGTTGCTTGATATACTACTTAACCGTTTAGCGCCTAAAAGCCGGTTATTGTCCACACCCTGGTTAGACAGACTTATAGCTTATTTCCACCAGAGGCTTAACTGCAGTTAAGAGCTCAGATAAGTTCCAAGAATTTCAATATGGGGTGAGCGGCAAGGTTTATTTCCTAGTGTTTGCTTTTCTCCTTTCGGTTGCTTGCGCTCAGTAGGTCGAGTTGTAATCTCCTTGTTTGAATAGCCATAAACTGCAGTTAAGACTTGGTGGAAATGAACCATTAGAGCCATTTCAACAATATTAGAGTGGACTCTTTGCCCATGTACACATTCGCATTCACAAAACATTCGTATCATTTGATGCGAATGCAAATATTCGCAACATCCCTGGTATGAATACATGTTCAGTACTTAGATTAACCTACACTACCAGGCTGATCGAGCTTTGCTCGGAATGTATATGGCCCAAAACGCGGACTGTTACATTACATTTTGGCTCACACTGCTTTTTAAATACCGCTGAAACTTCGCGAGAATACAATTTTCGGATAGTTTTTCTTCTTGCATCTGTATGTGGCATTATTTAATATATACAAAAAATATATTGTAACTCCTGTTGCTTAGGAGTTACGAATGTTTCAACAGCGGACTGTTGCATTACAATTTTTGGAAGTATGGAAAGATGCTTTATATTATTGAAAAAGTCTGCTCTCCTAATATGTTTTCAAAAGTTGGTACACAGTTTCTTACCTTAAGGATAGGACTCAAGAACTACGTATTAATTGAACTGATAAAATTAATTTTGAGGTCGATATTTGTAAAAAATAGTCGAACTATTACGTTATAGAAAAAGACTGTTACGTTACCTGTGCGATATACGTGTAGCGATAAGATTATAATTAGGTTTTTAAATCGCTTTTAGTGTGTTTTATGCAATAAGTAGCAAGAATTCAGTATAGCCCAAGAGCCCGCGACTGCCAGACCTTCGTTATTTTATAAAGGCTGAAAGTTTCTCTATGTATGCCCCCAACGCAGGTAATAACAAACCCAGACTATGAAATTTGGATAGTGGTGGCTTTGGCAGGTACCACGTAGTAAAGGTGTATAAAATACCACCTCAAATTCGTGATAGTATAAA